TTTTATTCCAATTACAATCCCTGGTGATTTCTGAGGAGCACTTGGTAATTGTGTCAGAATTTTCCAAAATGTTTCTAAACATGGGGAATAAATTATATGTGTACATTTAAAGCTTTCTTTTGCAATTTCCTTTGTTAGGGTCACGCGTGTACGTGAAAGTCAGGGCAAAGCAAAACAAAACAAAACGATGTTTATATGGAAAAGATATAACTGGATGTATAAAAAGAAGTCCAGCACACTATATGAAACCATACAAGAATGAGGAGTATCGTGTGTCCAGACATACATGTGCTTTGAATTTTTGGCTTTTTTCATGGCTTTTGACATGCGTCACACAGATATACAATTTCAGTGTCCCCATTCCTGGATTGTTGCATAGGGTGCAGCATATAGCTTATAGTATCATTTCAGTGGTGAATACGTAATACAAAATACATGCCATATGTTACACTGGCGTGTTTTTTTTAACGTATTATTTTTTTGTAAGTAGAGTCCCCTTTGAGATTGTGTCAGGAAGGGCATCTCGGGTAAATCTGTGCCAAATCAAACATGCAGTGGTACCTGCTGTGGCGACCCCTTGTGACAAGTGGAGAAGCCAAAACTATCTTTATTTTTTTTTCTAAGTAGAGAAAGTTAACATGAGTGGATGATAATGAGAGCTGATAAGGGGAACAGCTAATTTCCTCCAAGTGTAACAGATAATAGATTTCTTAATAGCTTTTTTCACTTTCATCTACTTTGATATCTGATTCCTTTTGTAAATGTGAGAGAACAAGAATATACAAGTTGGTCTCCTACAGAGTTGGACTCCAACCATGATGGAAGCTTGCTGCGCTCATAGATAGATAGATAGATAGATAGATAGATAGATAGATAGATAGATAGATAGATAGATAGATAGATAGATAGATAGATAGATAGATAGATAGATAGAGATGTGCTGTCACAGCAGAGCACTGAACCTAACAGACAATTACTGGACATGGATATTAATCATTCCAGATGGATGGACAGAATGTTTCTGTGATAAATTTGATGGCAAAAGATGCAGGACAGGGTGAAAAATCAAGAATAAGTACCATGGATAAGACCATAACCAGCAGAACTGGCACAGAGATACAGTAATTGGCTTGAAGGCAAGGTTAACCTTTCCCAGAGACTGTTTCAAAAGAAAAGCTCTGTTTTAGAAAGACAAACCCTGACAGATGAATTGAAAACTGAGTGGAGATTATGCATATGTCTTAAACACAGTCTCGTCGGTTAATCTTCTGCAGCCTACTGTATCTTGAGTTTTCCATAGAGGCACAGTGGGGTGCAATCTTCTGCAAGGCAGATGAGCAAATATATTGATACATCTTATTGCTTGTTTATGACCGCTTTTATATTGTGTATTATCTTGCACCGCAGGAATTAACCTATATTTATGATGGAAAAGAAGGCTCTGCTGGTTAATACTGAGGACATTGTTATAGTAAGTACCATGACCTCTAAGAAATAAATACACAGAGCAAAAAGAAAATAAGGAAGTTAAAAAAAGGAAGTGGAAAATGGGAAAGATATTTATATATCTTTATTTTTCAATGCTGTGCAAAGACACACAGTTTCATAACCTATAGTGCATTGCTGCTTAGTTAAGGGGTTATAAAAATGGTACTGGATCTTTTTTGATTTCTTCATGCAAAAACAACTTCTCGTTATGTTGCGGCTTTTTGCTTTTATCTTTGACTGACTGAGCAAAGTGACACAGCAACAACCTGACATCAAGTCCTTATAAAAAATAAGAGACTAAATCGCTATATGTTGTTGTTTTTTTCGTGACGAGGCAGAAAGAATATATAGCAAAGCTTGGTCTTCTTATCAGCTTTAAACAAAGACATCAACTGCACCTCACTGAATCTGTCGGCAAATAAAGAGCTTGAATTATAGGTCCTATCATATCCTATATTTTAATTGCAAGTGAACAATATATAAATACCATCTTTGACTGACTTTTTCAAAAACGTATCACTGAGCAGCAACAACAACACTTTCTTAGCAGGTATGATACACATGAAAATCGAATGTAAGAACCGTATTGTGTGTATCCTCTAGGGACAACTGTAAAAGGCTTGAGAGCTCCACAAATGTAGTGAACCTTGAGTTAAGGCGAGCTTTTATGCTCAAATTACTAAATACCCATTATCCATCCTAGTACACAGAGAACTGGGGCTATGAATTTGTCCACTGAGTCATTATTCTATCTTAGTTTCACACTGTTAACAAAACGTACAGTTAATCAGCTGGTTAAAAGACATGAGCAAAAACGCCAAACTACAAAGATTTGGAGCATTTTAAACCCCACAATAAACACCTACATTCAAGTATAACTGCACACGTGATGAGTGCTGCTGCGACTTAAACTTTGATTTGATGCATGAAAACAATGTCAGCATGAGATGCCAGCCTGTGCCCTGTGTGGCGGAAGCATATGGCAGTTAATGACTTTAAAGCTGATTGCTGAAACATTATTCTCTCTGATGGATAATACGCACGATGTTCATCCACAACAGCAGCCAATCACGGTTGTCTATCAGCATTGATGGCTTTTATAGTGAGTCACTGCTTGATGCTTGATATATTGTATCAATACAATAGAATTTTATTTATATGTGTCAGAATAACAGTTGTATCAAAGTGCTTACTATATTCTCAGAAAAGAAATTGCCTTAATGGGTGCAGTAGCATGTAGCTGGGGCAGTACCATCTAAAGTGCTGTTGTTGTACCCTTGATACCCTTGATATTTGTACTTGCTAGCATACTTGTGGTTTGTACAATGTGGAAACCAGTCTTGAACCTCTGGTGTCTATATCTTAATGCCCTGTCAGAGCACAAAACAAATTGGAGAACAAATGCCTCAGAAAAGTTTAAAGCTAGAACCTTCGACAGAGCTAGCCTCAGCATCTCACCTCCTCTGTTTTACTTGGATCTGACTTCTTCTCTTTGACTGTACCTAAGAACCTCCAAGCTTGTAGCTTAATGCCTTTAAATGTTGCATTAAAAGCTATTTTTCTTAACTGGACAAACAAAACAAAATGATCAATAATTCACTGGCTCAACTTGCTAACAGATCATGAAAATTTAGATAAATTGACTTCAACTTTATAGAAAAACTTGACCCAGTTAAAACAAAAACACTGCCTCCATGCTCATTCCCTTTATAATACTCGGCATGTACTTCAAACACAAACAAGATAATATAAATCACATGCTAAGGCTGGCCACCATGATCGGTACATACAACCTTATCCCCGTCACCCCAACCTCCCTGTACTGTTTCTGTGTGCTCCTGTGTTTAATGCGAAATTATCTTGAAAATTTATATTTCACCTAAGACCTTGCATATCCCTGAACACACACACACACACACACACACACGCACGCACGCACGCACTCTTTCACGCACGAATCCTGTTTTAAAATCTAGATGAAATGGTGCCAGCGTGTACCTTTTTACTCCCTGGGCCCAAATATGTACCCTTTTTGTCCTTTGAAAAGGTGTAGCTGGGTATTCCTAGGTGGTGCACTGTAGGTTACACCCAGCAGGACTGAAATTGCCTTTTACTATATCTCTGCTTGTGGGAGCCTGTGAGGTGGTTTTATAATCCTACAACTATTCTATGATAGCTGGGACTCTGCATGGTTTAACAGCTGGGGCATTTCAGTCATTGTGCCATTTGATCACAACTGTGACCACACTGTAAAAAACAGCACTGTACATTCAGCTGTCAGAGTACCATAGCGACTGGAATAAGCAGCTCCAATGGTGTTTGCCAGCATTTTCCCCGAAAACCATCATCATAACCTGCTGAACTGGTGGTTCTAGAATCACTTTTGAGAAAAGACACTTAAAAAAATTAAACAGCTGGAGATCTTCCCACTTGCCTTGGTCAAATGAGGACATCACAGCGGGATTGAAAGATTTCAAAATCAGAAAGTGAAAATTTTCAGTTGGATGGGGACACTTACATAATTTCATTACAGAATGAAATGTGAACAAGGAAGATAGTCAAAACATATATATGATGTTTGCATGCATTCATGCCTGGTTTGGCATGGCAGTGTCATCATCGCAATGTGGGTCTCTGTCTCCAGGTGGACAGGAACTACTTTAGTATCTATCACAGAGTCCATAAAGCGCTTGGACATTTGGGATATAAAAGTGACATTATGAAAAACAGAGAGACCAAGGCTCAAAAAACGTACAAAAAACATTTATAGTTCATATTTCAAGTTGTCTAACATTTTGTTCATGTTAAATACCAGTTTTCACTTAATTATAACCCTGAAAAAAAACAAACTGTTTCCCCCCCCTTTTAAACAATTTTAAAAGTCAGTAATATAAAACAACTGCAAAGCTGAAAGCTGGGGTTATTCTGAAAGAACGGCGGAAAAAGCGTTCACTCATGTATGATTTCGGACTTTTACACCCAAAGTTACCAAATAAGACCAGGCGGCCTGTATTATATTTGGACACTAAAGGGTTAATCGTCTCTTAACCTGATAATCAGTTATAAACAGGTATTTGATTAGGAACGACTTTGTATATATTATTATCACCATTACAATAATAGTAATAATTATGTCTGCCTGCACGATTAAAATAACAGTGTCACACAAACATATTCGCGAAAAAGCATAAAGCGGACAAACTGCTATGAGACTGTCCACAAATCCTCTATTATTTCATTTCCAAACAAAAATCTTGATTCGTTAAAAGAAAATTGTGCACGCTCTCCTGCATTATGTCTCAGTAATCCAATCCTACTAGTAGTTGCAACTTTTGAGAGAGTGCAGGGGGAAAAAAGCGGTTTGGCAAAGGCCCTGCGATCTGTTGAATGTGGAGTTTGTTTGAGGGGTGAGAAAATATGTCATTTCGGAGCCGTGGTTTATTCCAACGTAAGAGAGCGCACCAATGAAAAGCTCTTCTCCTCCCCCCTCCTTTTCCATCCACATACTCACTACTGAGCACGACCTGCCTCCTGCCACATCTGGAGACGCTTTCTCAACACGAGGAACTTCAAGTTTTGCGCTTACTCTGCGAACAAACACGCGTTTGCGAATTATCTGTCCGTCAGGGTGAATTTGGGTTTCTCTTGATAGTAAGTAGCCTAAATTATTCAGACCAAGTTGGCGTTTTTCCTCCTTTCGGAAGCTTTTCACATCACCATCGGTAGCTTAAACAGATCCACAGAGTTCCATACATGCCGTTTCTGTCTGTCACGGTGGATAGATTTATAATTCGGCACGGTTTGTGGACATGACAACTGATACACTACCGTTTTGTGCTTTTATTAATTTATAAGAAAAAAAGAAGAAGAAAGAAAAAGACCGGTAACCAGGGGTAGCGAACACGCGTACAGTGATTGAGTTGAAACACGCAAATCAGACACTTCTATTAAAAGTTTGAAATTTCACGCTCCGCTCTTTCACTTGGCTGCCATTTACTGTTAAATGCACAAAGTAGACCCTGTCTGCGATCCTTCTGCTCCACTGCCGCCCTGCACGATAGATCCGTGCGTTGTTGATGGTGACATGAGTCATAGGATTGAAGTTGTGAAATTCAGCAGCGACTGGTGATGGAATGATACGTTTCGGGCTTATTTTTGTACAACGCTGATCTAACGCTTGGAAAAGAATACTGGAATAAGCCGCAAGGCGCACAGCTCCATACTGAAGTGTTTAAGTTAGTCTGAGGGGGAAATTTAAAAGACCTAAAAATACAGCGTCGGTTTCTTCCCTACAAAAAATCATTTGAACTTCCCACCGCAGAGCTAGGGCGACATAAATAGTTCTGACATGTGGATGTAATTTCAGAAGAGGAAAAAAGACAGATGCAGAGAAATAAAGAGAGCAGACTGAGCCGGAGCATATAGTAGATTATAGGAAATTAAATCGAGGGCAGAGCGAGGCGATTACAGAGTTATGATTTCACAAGCCATCCTAAGCATCGAGAGGCCAGATGGAGTGAAAAAACACAACTCGTTCCACTTTGAAGAGAGTTAAGTAGATTAAATAATTTCATCCGAGCTCAATCAGCATCTGTCTGAGCCCTGCAAGGACTCTTGGAGGTAGAGTTGCCTCAGGTCAGGGATGGGATCCTCTCTGCTTCTCCGCAATCTGGACTTTCTACTCATCTCTCTACTCAGCGGTTTATGCCTGGTAAGTCATTTCAAAATGAAAATAAAAATGCAATAAGCACATTTACCCTGCCTGATAGACAAGATGCTGCTTTAATGTTGGTAAAGTGTGCACAGATCACTGAGAGGTTGTCAGAGAGATATCTGCATGTGCTGTGTGCCAAGTAAAACTCAAGTACCTCCTTTAGGATGATTATTTTTTGCATCCCATATTGATGAAATCTGCAAAATTCACTCTGATTTCTGCAAAATTTGTCCATTGCTTCTTTTGCAAATCATGATTGAGGAAGAATGTGTTCAGTGTTAAGGAGAGAGTGCGTCCTCCAGGAGAGACAAAGTGCCTCTGTTGTCAAAAGCTTTTTACTCGCATCTGCTCAAAACCTTTAATTGTCTCTGCGCTGGAAGTCAAACTCTTGAAATTGCTGCTTTATCGGACCACATGGCTGTTTTGCCAGATTCAGTGAAAAGAAAACAACACATTTAAGCTGAAATTTCAAGAGAGACGGTTGACTAATGACAGACATATTGTCAGTTCCCTAACAGGATTTAAGAGGTGGACATGGCAGCTAACAAAAAGCAGCTGTGATTAGTGATTACGCTCTTGTTCCATTAAGTGCTTCTTCCCACCCTAACAGTACAATTAGGGTTTGTGTAAGCACACAGTAACCTAGCTGCCCTAAAAGGCAGAGCATTGTGTTTTACTACAGCACGTTTCATGCTGTAAGCTCGGAAAAACTCTGACCCGCATAAGCTGATGCAGCTCGTGCAGTCAAAATGGGGCTAGAAATTTTCATTCACATCAGCAGCAGCAGCGGCCAAACAACTCGCCCAACACGGTGATCAAATATTGAGCTTTCAAACGTTGCCACAGTTGTATTTAGAATGTCTGCATACACAGGGACACACACACACAAACACACTGTGCAGGCAGAGCAGCACACGAAGTTGGTTCTGTGTGTTTTGGCTGAGGCTGTTGTGCATTCAACAGGCAGTTCGCCCAGGTTCTGAGGTACAGTGCATTTTCCCAGTGATGTGGTCCATCACTGTACCGCAGGACCTCTAGGCTCATTGGTTTAGATGGCAGAGGAAAACAATTATAACATAGCTGTGTATTTATAGCTGATTCAACACTGAGTCGTTCAAAGGCTCTGTCTATGAATGGTGTTTACCCGTTTTTAAGTTTGGTGTTTGCTTAGTGTTCCTCTCCACAAAAAAGTATTTATTTTTTTCCAGACTGTAACCAAACGGGATGTAGATGTTCACTGAATCTAAACTAAGAGCGGAAAAATCTGGGTCTGTGTTTGAAGAAAGAATATGAAGGAATATTTTAAAAATTGAGACATACTGTTTTCAAAATACAGCATTTTACAACTTTCCCAGAGGCTCTGCGAATCCTCGTATTAAAAATACAAATATCAAAATGTGTACTCGCTATTTTTATCTGAACGAAATTGGCTGATACGGGGACTGACAAGGAATATCTCAATTGTGTTTTACACCGTAGCAGGCAAGCTGTAGTGACAGCTGACAGACAAAGCACTGCCTCATAGAGCCTTTGTTCAGTGTGACTGCCTGCCTCACTTACTCAGTTATTACATTTATTAAGAGGCAGCACTGCTTTCAGGAAAGCTTGGTGAGCGTTTAATTTTTACCTCATGACTGTGTTTTCCCCTCTGTGATGACTTGCATGTGTTCGGATCCTAACTGGAAGAACTCAAACTGTAACTGCATCTGCATGACATTGTCAAGGTTTATGTCAGCTCTGGACAGAATCTGACTGTGACGGCTGTCATGTTTAGTATTGCACAAGGCAGTTTTGACTAGTTTCACAAGGTGTGGAAAATATCAGTTGTTGACATTTTTAGCCAAAACTTTTTTCCTTTCGTTTCTTTTTTTTCCCTATTTTTTGTGCAGAGAATCAGCAGTTTTCCTTGTGGCTAAAATTCTAGATTAAGTAGTTCAATCAATGTTGTGTTAAACTAGAGACCGCCAATTTCCCTGAGGATATTTTTCAAAGTTATACCAAACTGAACTGACTGATGCAGAACTCTTAAATTCCCCACAGATGAACGACGTCTGTGTTTTTCTCACCAGAGAACAGCTCAATTGATATTCATAGACATGGTTGATCAATTTGAAATCAAGGGATCACGGTTGTGGTCGACAGCCGAATGCATCCAAGAGGAGAGCAGAGCACACAGAAAATACATTTTCATGATAAAGTACCCCTGTGTCATCAGTTAAAAGACTTTAAAGTTACTGATCCCCCAAAAAAGCAAACAATGAATACCTGACCCCCCTTTTCCCAATAATCATTCAAAGTAGCTTTATCCATCTCTGTTGAATCATCCTCAATAGAGATTCATAACATAGATTAGAGTGGCGGATAATCTCATCCCAATCTGTCACTGGTAATTAGGGGCAGCAGATATCGCCTTACTGATTCAAATGAACTGCTGCTGCATCTGTGAAATAGGCTTTATTATTGAAATTCATTTCTGCACACCCATTTGACTGATCTCAAATATGACTTATGATAATTTTCTCCCACTTGTCTGTGTTTGCGCGAATATATGTGTGTCTGAAGATGCATGAAATGAGCCGTCCTCCTAAATTTATTCCAGAAATGTGCTTTTCACTTAGTCATTAAGAGAAAACTGCTGAAACTACAGACTGTTTGATTGCTGCTTTTAATTCTACTTCATATGCAGCTTCATGCACAGAGTTAGCCTCCAAACGTTCTCAGATAAGAGCCGATCCAGTGTGGTAATTCTATTTATTCACTATGTATTGTTAATTAATAATGAATGCTGATAAATTTATATAGAGACATTATACTATATAGAGACAATGTTTTTTGCGTGTTTTCACCAACTGTTCATAGTTTGTGTGAGTTATTTCTTCACACTCAGCTTGTCTACATCTATACACTCCCTGGCCACTTCATTAGTTACATCTTGCTTGTACTGTAACTGCCTTTTAATTTCACAGCTGCCTCAACAAGGTGCTGAAAACATTTGCTCCATATTGACATGACAGCATCACACAGGTGCTGCAGATTTGTATTTCCTCTCTGCTCTGCTGGATTGAAATCTGGTGACTGTGAAGGGCATGTGATTGCAGTGAACTCACTGTCATGTTCAAGAAACCAATTTGAGATCTGAGTGTTGTGATATGGTGCATTAGCCATCAGAGGATGGATACACTGTGGTCATAAAGGAATGGACATGTTCAGGAATGTTACTCAGGTAGGTTGTGGTGTGTAACCGATGCTTTAATGGTATTGTGTCAGGACAATATTGTCCAATATTGGAGAGGCCATGTGAACAGTAGTCACTAGTTTTCTGTTCCTAGCTGTGTGTGTGGTACCCGGTGTGGTCTTCTGCTGCTTTAGCCCAGATGCATCAAGTTTTGACATGCGCATTTAGAGATGCTCTTCTGTGAACCTTGGTTCAGCTCAGGTTTTCCTCTGGTGTCAACAAGGCATTTTTATTGGGAGCACTTGCTGGATATTTTCTCTTTCTCAGGCCGTTCTCTGTAAACTTTAGAGACGGCTGTGCAGGAAAATCCCCCTAGATCAGCAGGTTCTGAAATACTCAGAGCAGCCTGTCAGCCATCAACAACCACGTTCATAGTGACTTTCTTCCCCATTCTTTCGCTCACTTTGAATTTCAGCAGGTTACCTTGGCCATGTTTACATGTCTAAGTGCACTGAGTTGGTGCCGTGTGATTTATGAATATTTGCATTAATGGGCAATTGAACAGGTGTACCTAACAAAGAGGCCAGTGAGTGTATAAATATTTGTCTGCATGTGTGTTTCTCTGCTTATATTACCATCAGTGCACTGAGTGTGATGAAAATGCTGGCCTCACCGGCCACTATTTTATTTCATTTCCTCAGAGAGTTCAAACAGTTTGGATGCGGCTTTGATCTCGATGCCTTTTCTGTTTAGCCTCCATTAGGACAGAGAGGGACAACAAAGCCTGTCAGGGCCCATTTACACATGTCAGTGGACACCTCACTGACAACTGTCCACCGCGTGCCAGACTGAAGCCTTTTTATATGGGAAAACCACCTTCCTGTCATATATATATATATAT